GGTTTCACCATGTTAGCCAGGATGGTCTCGATCTGCTGACCTCGTGATCCGCCCGTCTCGGCCTCCCAAAGTGCAGGGATTACAGGCTTGAGCCACCGCGCCCGGCCGGCAAGGACCATATCTTATCTGTCCTTATGCCTCTAGTACCTAGCACACGGTCTGCCACAAAGCAAGAGCAAGGGAAATATTTGGAGGAAGAATGGGTGAAGCATAAATGCCAGCCTGAAAAGATTGGGGGTGGGGGAACCCCAAAGGTAGAGGGGTGTTAAAAAGAGCATGGGGCGGGCCCAGGAGCAGACCCCGCCTCCTTTCCCACGAGAACTTGACCAGCAGGGAAATAGGTATTACACGGTCCACGTGACTTTGTCTCCAGAGAGGGTTGTCATTGGGCACCTGTAAGAAGCTGGCTGGTTCCCTCCAGGCACCTCTGGGAAGGGCACTTAGTCCCTGCTCCCCACTGCCCGGGAAGCGCATCCTCTGCTGAGTGGCCTGAACTCCCCAGAGGTGGGGGCCTGCTCCTTCTCCCACAGAGAGCAGGATTGCAGGGTCCACCTGATCCAGTCTGGCCCTAGCCCAGGGCCAAGCATGACCACGTGGCTTCACTCCAGGAGCAGGCAGAAAAAGGAGATCAGCTGTTTGCAGCCTGCTGGCACCAGAGAGAGCAAGGTAGATCCCGTTGGCAGCTGGATCAGGGCCTGGCTTCTAACCCAGTTGGCAAGCAATGGAGAGAAGAACGAACATCTGCTCTGCACCACTGGAGAACAGAGCGGGCTGCTGATGGGTATATTCAAGCTGCAAGCCGTGGTAGTGGTTGAACTGTATCCCCTGAAAAAAGATATGTCCAAGTCCTCATCTCTGGTACCTGTGAATGTCACCTTATTTGGAAATAGTCTTTGCAGATGTAATTAAGTTAGGATCTAGAGAGAAGACCGTCCTGGATTTACAGTGGGCCCTAAATATTTACCTGATTCTCTAAATCCTCCAACAAGTGTTATAGTAAGGGAAGGGAGAGGAAGATTTGAGACACTCAGAAGGGAAGGCCACGTGAAGATGGAGGCAGAGCCTAAGGAGATGCAGCCACAAGCCAAGGAGTGCCTGGGGCCACCAAGAGCTGGAAGGGGCAGGAAGGACCCTCCGCTAGAGCCTTATGCCACCCATGCCCTAACCCCGGTTTCCACGGCAACCCTAGGAAAGGAATAGTGTCCAGGCTGCAGAGCCACGGCCAAGCTGCTACCTCCACGGTTTCTCTCCCTCCCGGGGGACACTATGGTCCTGCTCAGGAGAGCAAGCCCCTGCCTCCCACCCACCTCTCACAAGTGCCCAGACCTACCCAGGCCCCAGGTGTCCGACTTGGGCACACATTCAGCTGCAGTCGACACACGCTCTGGCTGCCCCACCCATGGGAGGCTGCACCCCCAGGAGGAGCGAGGCAACTCAGGGTCCAGCATGTGCCTGCTGGGTGCCAATGTCCCCAGGTATGAAGCTGAGGGCCTCCCAGGCAGGAGTAGACTTTAGGTGGAGAGGAGAAGACGACGACAATTCGGTTTAATGAGCAAACTGACGAGGCAGGATGCTTAAAACACAATTCTGAGTTTAATGTTTTCTGGAAAGAGCTGGGGGAGCTTAAGCAGCAAGTGTGGCGCTCTGCTTCTGGGCACGCCCACAGGAACTCGGCTTTCAGAGTCTGACCCGCGGAAGTTCTTTAAAGAGAGACACTTAGGGACCCCAGATCCCGGCAGGCAGGCCCAGAGAGGGAAGCAGGATTAGTCAAAACCAGGTGTGGGATGGGGGAAGGAAGAGCGGCAGTGGAGCTTTGGGGGCCCAGCAAGTAGCAAGAATGACCCTGGGCATCAACGTGGGATGAGGTGGAGAGGGGTTGTGGGGTTCCTGGAGATCAGAGAACGTGGCGGCCATGGGTAGGGCCAGAGCACCGCAGAGACACCGCAGCCCTGCTGCAGGTGGTCCTGAAATTGGCGCAGGGGCTATTGCCTCCCCTGCCACCCAGCTCCTGAGAGAGAATCCTGACCCAGGTGGTTGGGACATGCACTTCCTCTTGACTCTGGTCTCAGGACTGAGGCTCACAGAGTCTGAAGAAACAGGCAAGCGTGAGCTTTCCAACCCCTTCCAGCTCTCCCCTGCTCTGAAGCCTAGAAAAAGCCCCTCTCAGGCTACTGGTCAGAGACCTGGATGAGGGTGGTGGGGGCGGAAGGGGTCTGGATCAGCCTCACTGCCAACCAACACAACACATGTGGAAATGGGGATGCTTAGCCCACGAGGAGACGGGAGACTGCAGTGCTGCGTGAAGTGTTTTATAAAGAACAGAAGCCAAGGCCCCAGGGCCTTCTGGGGCTGACTCGTGTGGCAGGCAAAACAGAGAGTAGATGCCAGGGTGGCAGTCATGGAGACCCCCCCCCGGGCTCTGGGGTGGCATGGGGGTGGAGCAGAGTCACACATGGATGTACCAGGAGCTCTGCCCCTCATAGAAACATCTGCAGGCCTGGGGGACTCAGGGGTCCCTGGCCGCTGTCAGGAGCCCTTTGGTTGCTTCTACCAGCCTGGAGCCAAGGCAGGGGGCTCAGCTGTCCCTCTGGGAGGCTGACACTTGCGGTCCCAGCCCCAAGCACCCCGCAGCTGTGACTCAGAAAGACCAGCTGAGCCCTTGGGCAAGGCCACAGGGATGTCAGGGTCCACCTGTCCCTCAAGAAAATTCCCACATGGCTTAAAAGAATGAAGCCAGAGGTAGTTTCCTGCCCCCAGCCCCTCCCCTGACCCCAGGGCTTTAACTTTGGATCTTCTCTTAAGCGGAGTCTCAACTGAAAAAGTCCTTCTCTTGGGAGCCAGCAGGCTGGCTGGAAAGACAAAAATAACAACGCTTTTCTTTGTCCTCCACGGTTTACTTTGCTCCTTTTGAGACCTTTAGAATTTGCCTAATTATTTCCAAGGACTGGAGCCCCGGGGCTGCACCCTGGGATGCCCTGCCGCCACCCGCATCTCTGCATCTCGCTGTGCGGGCTCCACTTGAGAATGTGTGCCGAGAGGGCAACGGAAGGTCCCTGAGGGTTCTCGCGGGCCCCCCGCCCTGGTGATTTTATCTGCCGTCAGCTCTCGCCAGAGGCTGCAGCATCTGGGAGCACCGGTTGCTTTGGCTTTCCGTGCGTGCAGGGCATCTCACTGAATTGGCCAAAGCCAGGGAGGCGGAATCCAGGGATGGGGGAAGAGGCGGTGGGGTCAGCCTGGTGCCGAGCCCTGGGGTCCGCACAGAGCAGGGGTGGAAGGTGGCGAGAGGAAAGGAGGTGGCCGGCCAGCTAGGGTTCGGTGGCGTGCTTGACCAGGTAGCCACTGAAGGTGATGTAGGTGTCCAGCTCCTCGCTGAAGATGGCGTTCTCGCGCTCGCCCTTGTAGAGACGCACCCACACCTGGTCCTGCTCCTGCAGCTCCAGCATCAGGCTCTGGCTTTGCATGATGCTGCGGTCGCCCACCTGCGCGAACAAGATCACCACCTCCTCCTCGTTCTTCATGATGTGCAGGTACGTCTCCTTCTGGTTCCAGGTGTGCACGTTGAGGCTAAAGAAGTAGATGCCGGGCACGTAGCAGTAGAACTTGCCAGTGAACATGTTGAAGTGGCTGTAGAGGTTCACGAACTCCGTGTCGAAGATCACCGTCTGGTAGTAGTGGTTGCTGTGCATGGGCTTCTTCCGGCCCACCGAGAAGGCGGCGTAGTGGCTTTTGCACCGCTCCCCGGGGGCCCCCATGGAGCCCTTCTGCCCTTTGGGTCCAGTGTGGCCCCTGGCCCCTGCTGAACCTGTTTTGCCGTATTTCCCTTGGAGGCCTCGATCTCCGCGGTCACCCTTCTCACCTAAAAGGGACGGGAAGACATGTGCTGTTATTGGAGTAATCTGGTGGTGTCCTGAGCCTTGGCTGCTCACGCTCTGGTCCCTGGCGCAGTCCTGATTCGACCTCACAGCCCTGACCTGGCAGAAGCTTCACTCCTGCCCCCAACCCCCCACCACGGGCAGCTTCCCAGCCTGGCACAGGGGTATTTTGATTCCCAAACTGGCCAAGCAAACAGACTCAACCTCAAGGACGGTTCTATTTTTGCCGAGAAGCAATAATTTTTTTTCCTTCTGGAAAGCCCTGGTTAAAAAAAAAAAAAAAAAGGAACATACAGGTTCGTCCAAAAGCAACGGGCTCTGCGGCCAGACCCACGGCTCGCTCAGCAAATGAACTCCAGATGTCTGGGCCGGCTCAGGATCTAGGCTGCAAGTGTTCCCAGTTCGATTTCACGGGGCTATGCGGGGTTATCTGCCGTGTGCAGGACCGGGGCGAGCGGGTGGCATTTCAGAAAGCAGGCTGGGGCACCAAGCCCCAAATCAAAGGGCCTAGAAGCCTGGCGTCCACATACAACTGGAGGGACGAGGCCCCAAGCAGCCACTGGGCTCGCTCTCCTGCTCTAGGTCCTGCAGGCCCCTTTCCAACCCCTCCTCTTGGGGAGGGGCCAGAGCCTCAAAATCAATCTCCTGTGCCTTCCCCTCTAGATGACAGCCTGCCTGCCTCTGCTCCGTGTCCCGAGGGAGTCCTCCGCTCTCGCCCAGCCCCACCCTAACGACTCCATCCTTTCCTCCAGATCAGCACAGAGCAGCCTTGGCCACCCCGTGCTCGTCTTTGCAGCCATCTGACCTTTTAAGATAGTGATGTTGATCTGGGGCACGGCGGTCGCCGGGTACATGGAGGTACCGGGGTCGCAGCAGCGCAAGCACCGGGAAACAGGGAGCCCCTCGTCCTGGCTGGGCCTGTATTTTTCATGTTGTTCTTCAGCCCTGAGGGAATAATGCATCACAGTGAAAGTCAGGAACTCTCAGGCCTGGAAACGCTTCTCTCTTCTGCTGCCAGTGGGTCTGGTGTGCCTGACCTGCCTTCTCCCTCTCTCACCTGGGCCCACAAAGCTCTGTGTTCATGCTGGTGGGCTCAAGGCCCACTCTGGCATCCTCACTACAGAACGAGCCCCTGTCCTTTGTTAAAGGCAATGACAGTCCTGGAAACACGGCAATCAGTTGAGCGCCACGCAAGACGGTGGCTGTTTGGGAAAAATCCACACATCTAGGAGAGGGTCTTGGGTGACACAAGACAGTGCCAGGACTCCCTATTGTGTATCCGTGATGCTAGAATATAACATATGAAGCTGACTCGTCTGTGAGTGAGAAGGTTCAGCTGGATCTTTAGGATTCCTCTCAGCTGCAGCCGCTGGAGAGATTCTAATGTTTCCAACCTGACATTGGAAGGACCGGCCCACGGGCAGGATGCATGGCGGCGGCTCCTGGCTGCCACCTCGCGGCCCCTCGCGGTATCGTGTGTGCTCTGGCTTGTGGCTCTTCTTGCCCAGGCTGTAGAGCTGCACAGACCCATGGGGGCAGCAAAGTCCCCCTGGGTGGGCCAGCCCCTTATCTAACGCTGCTCCCACTTTTACACCCCAGACTATCCAGGAAATGGATCTCGGTGCCCTATGTTCAGCTACCCATAAGCCCAGGACTCCCAGATGGACATCTCACCCCCACCTCTCTCCTAAGCCCCAGACCTTGACTTCAAACTTCTCACCAGAAGTCTGCATCTGGAGATGCAACAGGCCCCACAAATGTCATGTGTGTAAAACAAAAACCCCTGTCCCCATCCCTTCGTCTCTGGAATCTTCTCTTTCTGAGATCTGTTCCTGGCATCAGCAGCGGGTGTCACCCCAACTACCCCCCGCCGAAACCTTCAGCAGAGTCCTGGGCCCTCAGCCTCCAGGCACCTCCAGACCTGAGCCTGGGGCCCTCATCGTCTCTGAGGCACCCCTGCCATTTCGACTCTCGCTTGGAATCTGCCTCTCCCTGCACCAGCTCATCCTCTCTGCTGCCTCCCTCCGGCATTCTTCCGAGAACACTGTCCAATTTAAGCTTTCCCATGACCCCTCTTGTTCCTTCTAGGATTTCGTTCAGGTGAGACCCTCCCCAACTAGACCCAGCTGCCTCTAGGCTCAACTGCCCTCCTGTTCTTCAGCCTCCAGCCTCCAGCACTGGGTCTCACCATCCCAAGCCACCCACCAGCCCCGACAAACACTGCCAGCCATGCCTCTGCACACCCCATTCCGGCTACCAGGCGGCTTTCCCCTCCTTCTGCACCTGGGAGGCCCCCAGGTGTCTTCAATACCTAGTTCACTCCTCTCAGTCTTCCTGGGTCCCGCTCCTCCCTCTCCTGACCCTGCCTCCAGCATCATGGGTGCACCCCTACTACAAAGCCCACCACACTGCACTGTCTCTCATGGGCCTGTCTCCCTCTCGGCCTCAGAGCTCCTGGAGTCCAGGACTGTGCCAGTCATGTGTCCCCCGTGCCTGGGGGATGGCCTGACTGATAGGAGGGGCTCAATCAAAGAAAAAGGAGGGAGAGGAAGAAAGAACGGAATGGTGTGACTCAGCCTCAAATCCTGTCCAATCCCATTGTACACTAAAGTTAGCCTGAAGCCTCAAGTATCAAGTCAGCCCAACACTCAAAATAACGAAGAGATTCCAAGCCAGGCTTGAGCTGTCGCTGGGTCTCCAGGACCTCACGCTGGATGCATGGCAGTTGGATAAAGCACTCAGCTTCCCTAGGAAATATCCCAGGTCAGCTGGAGTCTCTCTGTCATTGCAGGTCATAGACACAAAGGTAGATGCCATCCAGAGTCCTTCACAACCTTTCAAGGGAAGCCGACACTTGGCCCGCCCGGTCTCTGCTGTCCTCTCCTGTCCTGCAGTGTGATGAGACACGTGGGTCGTGGACACCAGCTCTTGGTCCAGCATCTCTCCTAAGGCCATGCTCCATCTCTCCCTGCCTCCAAGTGGTGCCTAGAACCCCAGCGGACATTCTCAGCAGACAAAGTGAGAATGAAAAGACAAACTGGAGGGTGGATTTGGGAGCTTGGTCTGCTCTTTACTTAAGAAGGCAGCCGCAAAGCCACTTGCAGACCCCGCTCCTTTCGGCTTGTGGTGAGGCTGGACCACTGTCTGCAGTTTCAGGTGAGGTGCCCAAGCCACTGAAAAGCGGAATAGCTCGTCCATCCTGCAGGACCAGCCTCCAGCAGGGCCACGGCTCGGCTTTGGCTTTCTCGCCTTCACATCTCACAGTGAACCAGGTCCCCCGGGGGCCCCGAGCCCCAGGCTCAGCCTGGCCAGAGCCAGAGATCCTGCTATTACACCCTCGTGGCCCCTCACCTCTCAGCATGGTCCGGCGGGGAGGGCAGCTCCTCAGTCCCCTCCCACTCCTGCTGTTCCCCCTGGACATGGGGCACACGGCTCAGGACCGGGCCAGAGGCAAAGGCCAGGAGCAGGCAGTACGCCAGCAAGAGTCCCTGTCCACGGGAGCCCATCTTCCTCCTGGGCCCTGGTGGGAAAGAAACACACAGGGAAGGCACCAAGTTAGGAAGCAGCTGCACAGAGAAACAGCCTGGAAATCAGAGGTGCTTCCCCAGCTGCACGCCACTGGGAAATGCTGCAGTTACACAGCTTCTGGGAGGACAACCACTCTCAACACACCCATGCCTGCACACACACAACACACATGCAACCCACACACATGCACTCAACACATGCAATCCACACATGCATACTCACATACACTCACATGCAACCCACACATTCACATGCACACAATACACATGATGCCATCCAGAGTCCTTCACAACCTTTCAAGGGAAGCCGACACTTGGCCTGCGCAGTCTCTGCTGTCCTCTCCTGTCCTGCAGTGTGATGAGACACTCACACATATACCATCACATGCACTCACAATCCACATGCACACATTCACATACATGCAATCTACTCATGCACATTCACATACATGCAGCCCACACATGCACACATTCACATACATGCAATCCACATGCACTCAACACGTGCACACACACGCACAAATTCACATACATGCAATCCACATACACTCAACACGTGCACACACATGCACGCATTCACATACATGCAATCCACACACAACACACGTGCACACACATGCACGCATTCACATACATACAATCCACACGCTCAACACACGTGCACACATGCACACATTCACATACATGCGATCCATACACAACACATGCACACACATGCACACATTCACAGGCACATATACCCACATCACATGCACACTCACATGCACGCACGCGTACTCTCAACACGTTCACATGAATGCTCATCCACTCATGCACACATGCGCTCACATGTACACACACCTTCACACGTGCACACACACTCTGCCCCCAGAGCCTCAGCCAGTCAGGCTGGTGTTGAGAGGTTGCTGAGCAAGGTGCTGTCTCTGCCCACCCAGCCTCTCGGGAAGGAGAGTCCATCAGCCGCTGGCCCCACAGACAATTGTTTACCACCCCTTTTAGGACAGTAAGAAAAATCCCAAGTAAGCTTTGAATGATCATCATCCCTTAACTCAAAGCAAAGCTGGCTCAATGACCAGGTCCTTCACCGGTGGGCAGGTGGGTAAGAAGGCAGCTGCAAGCTGCTTTCCAGCCTCCAGGCGGTGCATCAGCGAGTGTCCTTGGCATCTACTTTAGGGACGTGCCAAGCCCAGCCCCGGAGAGCAGTCATCTTTCCAGGAAGACAACCCCACGTCTCTCACTCCCAGAGTTTTTGGCAAAAGCTTGGGGCAGGACCCTCTTCATCCAGTATTGGGACAGTCCTTCTAGAAAGGGGTGCTCATGGAGGTGGGGAGTCCAGGGAGCCCTCGAGGGTCGGCGCTTGGGCCCGCATTAGACGAACGCCCACCTGCCACCCTGTGAGCGGCTCGCTTTCCTCGCCCAGAAATCTGGCATCAGGAGTCACATGCCCAGCCATTTCAGGTGGGCCGAAAACCTCCCCACCGAGGGGCATAGCAACTGTGGTCAACTCTAACCCCTCTTTGTTACCAAAATGTAAAACTCAAGAATGTCTCAGGCCCTATGGGAACACCTCATTCAACACACAGCCACCCAGTGAGAAGATGGGTGAGAAGTGCACGTAATCTCCCGAGGTGCTGGGATTCCAGGTGTGAGCCACCACGCCCAGCCTTTAGTGGGCTCTTGAGTAAAGTCTGAAGGGCTCCCTGCAGAGCCTTCACACCAAGTCAACATTGCAGGGGAAGATCTGGAGCCCAAGGCTCTCGTGATGGAGCCTCCAAGGTGAGAGTGAGGAGAGCAAGGTGGGCCCCCCCGAACCTCTTTCCTCCCGTCACACATGCCTACACCCAGTCTTCACCCCACTGCATGACCCCCGCCCATTCCTGCAGTGCCTTAGCTGGAGCCCCCATCTCCAAGTGTCCTACCAACCAGCTGTCCCTCCCATGCGTCAGGGCCCAGAGACCGTCCCCATGACCAAGGGGCTGCTTAGGCCAGCTCCCACCCAAAATCTCTGATACCTCCCACCACTTGCCAAAGACAGTGTGTATCTGCACATGTTAATTTGTAAAATGCACATCTAAGTTATCTCTCCAGCCATCAGTCTGATTAGGTTTGAGAACACTTCCTCATTAATAATTTTTATCCCATCACAGATGGCCCCACAATCCTCTAGAGAGACAATATTCATTCATTACTGTACCACATTTGTAAATGAGAAAACAGAGACTTGGAGAAGCGAATTAGCTTAAAATTCTGTTTTGTTTCGTTTTTGAGACAGGATCTCACTCTGTCACCCAGGCTGAGTGCAGTGGTGCAGTCTCAGCTCACTGCAGCCTCTACCTCCTGGACTCAAGTCATCCTACCTCAGCCTCAAGGAGAAGGGACTGCAGGTGTGCACCACCACACCCAGCTAATTGTTTGTTTGTTTGTTTTTGTTTGTTTGTTTTTTATAGAGACAGATTTTCACCATGTTGCCCAGGCTGGTCTCAAACTCCTGGGCTCAAGTGATCTGCCCATCTCGGCCTCCCAAAATGCCAGGATTCCAGGCTTGATCCTCCACGCCAGGCCAAGGCTGATGTTTGAGCAGGGTGGCTGCATTTGAACTCAGACAGGCTGACAACAGATGACAATAAAATCCTGCCCACCATGTCTTCAACACCCAACTCAAGGTCTCATATTCTTCCTGAAGCCTTCCCAGGCCCCTCAACTGGGAAAAGTTCTCCATCCTCGCTTTTAGGTTTCTTTTTTGACACAGGGTCTCACTCTGCCTCACTGCAGCCTCAACCCTCCAGGCTCAGGCCGTCTGCCCACCTCAACCCCCAAGTAGCTGGGACTACAGGCATGCCCCACCAGGCCCAGCTAAATTTTTTTGTTGTTGTTTTTTCGTAAAGACAGGGTTTCACCGTGTTGCCCTGGCTGGTCTCACACTCCTGAGCTCAAGCAATCCACCTGCCTTGGCCTCCCAAAGTGCTGGGATCATAGGTGGGCGCCATAATTTTGTTTTTCCTATTGTCTCCTACTGCAGAGAGTTTGTCTAGCCTACGAAAGTCCACTCAGCAGACCGTAGGTGACCTCCTCCAGGGCTGGGACATCCCCCAGCCAAGCATCCTGCAGCCTCCTGAATGTCACTGGTGCTCAGCAAATACTTGTCAGATTGAATTCTCTAAATTTGTTTATTTCTCTATTTCTGTATTTCCTCTGTTTCTCCTTGGCGCCTTAATAATTACTCTGTTTTTTCCTTTTAAGTGGCAAACTTGTGCCAGTTAAAAGGAAAAGAGATTTTCCTTTCTTTAAACATTTTTTCCTGAACCCCAAATGTTTTATATATACACACACGTTTACATATATATACACATATACATACACACACACACACACACGCGTATTTATTTCAGAGAGGTTGGAAAGTAACTACAAAAGGCATTACAAAGCTACCTTGGCTTATTCTACTCTGTGGTTTCTCAACCCTGGCACCATTGGTGTTTTTTTGTTTCTTTTTATTTATTTATTTATTTTTTTGAGATGGAGTCTCGTTGTCACCCAAACTGGAGTGCAACGTGTTATGATCTTGGCTCACTGCAACCTCCACCTCCCAGGTTCAAGTTATTCTCCTGCCTCAGTCTCCCTAGTAGCTGAGATTACAGGCGTGCGCCACCAAACCTGGCTAATTTTTGTATTTTCAGTAGAGACAGGGTTTCGCCATGTTGGCCAGGCTGCTCTTGAACTCCTGACCTCAGGTGATCCACCTGCCTTGGCCTCCCAAAGTGCTGGGATTACAAGTGTTTGCCACCCTGATACCAACCCTGGCACCACTGAGGTTTGGGCCTAGATGATCCCCTGTGATGGGAGGCTAGCCTGTGTGCTGCAGGATGCTTAGCAGTAACCCTGGACTGTCCACACCAGATGCCATTAGCATCACCACCTCTAGTTATGACAATGAAAAATGTCTCCAAACACGGTAATATGCCTGTTCCCTGGGGGCAGAACTGCCCCTAGCTAAGCACCAGCACTTGCTTTTATGTTGCTCTCTCTCTTTCTAGTCTAGCAAAGGGATTTTCCACACCTTGGTCAGAAGAGATGGGATCCAGGATGCAGCTGGGTTAGGAACAAGGCTGTCACCTGGGCGTGGCAGAGGGGAGGGGGTGGAGCTGGGAAAGCCCAGTAGAGAGCCCCAGGCTCAGGCTGATAGGGAGAAGGCCACTTTGGTGGTGGTGGATCCCCTCAAAAGCCTCCTCTTTGGAGTCAGAGCAAACCTAGACTGAAATCTTTCCTTCTTGAAAAGATCTTAAGAACCATTTTACCAAATCCCACAGCAAAGCCAGCGTCATAACATTATGATCATTTTAGTCACTTTTGGGCAAAAACAGTATTGCCCAACATCTAACCAAACTTGGCTCCAGATCACTATTAGTGATTTCCAGCAAAACTCCCCCTACAGTGGGGAGGCCGTGTCCCAGCAATGTTATCTGGAAGAACGTGTTAGGCAGTTCCAGGAAAGTGCCCCGAGCACATCTTGACCAGTGGTGTGAAACCCACACGAATCCAGATCAACGTGGCCCAGTCTCCAGGCCGCATCACAGTCAAGGCAGCTGAAGACAGTTCCAGCATGACTCAAGCTCTTTACTTGCCTTTCCCAAATCCTGCAAATAAGAGCCAATTTCCATGGTAATTCGGTGACCATTTTCCTCCCCTCCATGTCCCTGAGGACCAGCTGCTCTTCAGCGTCCCTTCCCCAACCCCACACCATCCACCTACAGCGGACCTTCTCCTGAACAAGAACACATCCCCCTTTACAGGAGGAGGGAGGCCGGAAAAGAGAAAC